TTTAACACATTTACGCACACCGTTTGCAAAGTCGACGTCAAATGTTGTCTGTTTTGTGGTTTGCCTTCACTTTCGGGAAAAATGGTTTTTTGTTCCTCTATTTCAAAGGCTGTGAATTAAAAATCAGCTCTTTTTGAACACATTCCCAGAAACCTCTTCCCATTTACAGACTCTCTCTCTCTCTCTCTCTCTCTCTCTCTCTCTCTCTCTCGGAATATAAACAATAATTTATTTGCTTAATAAGCACTTGGATTTGAGTGAATGTTTACAATAATTTAAACAATAGAAATCACACACTCCTTAGAGTACACACAAATCAAAATATAATTTTTCGTTTCAATCAATTATATTTAACTTTAATAATTTAAACTCTTCTAAGAATAACATACTGTATATTAAATATAATTTTTGTAAAAACATGTTTCTCTGCAAACATATAAATGCATTTATTTTTCTACTCCGAGTCTTTACAAGTCATTCAATTTCTATACAAAAAATAGTGTCGAGATTTCGCTGATTAAAAACATATTGTGTAATGAATTAAATTTTATGATAAATAATGATATATTTTGTATTCTCGTCGGAGAATAAGTTCATTGCATTTTGAATACAATGTTATGAATAAACACGTGAATGAATTTCCTGAATGTATTAATGAACTTCAATATACTTATTGTATGCAAAAAGGGTATTCACAGTGAAATCAATGCACTTTTTAAATGCATTTAAATTATATATTTAATTATATCGTGTCGTTTGATTGCGAGCGGCGATCATATATTAAATGTTGTGATAATTGAATATTTCAATTAAGATCTCATTTCAAAACGCTTTACACGACAAGGACTGCCGGGAATTAACGATAATATAAACTGATAATTAAATGTCATAAAAATGATTAATACCTTCTGTTAACAAATTGATATTATTATAACTTTAAATATAATTTTGAAAATAACAAACATTAATAAATAAATTTCTTTTCAATAATACTCACATAACTACTGTTTAGAGTACCAAATAAATCGTGTTTATAGTGTAGAGACGATGGTTAGTATTGAACGATAGGATCAGTCCTCCAAATATAAAAGACATTTATATTCATATAAACTTTTTTTCTTTAACTTAAATCAAGGCTAACATCCAAACCATCCATTAAATGACATCAAATATATATTGTATATCAGTATTGGATTTCAATTTTGAAAGTGTGATTTAAATTGAGATTTCATGATACAAATCTTAATTAATTAAATTTAAAAAATTAATATTTCCAACAAAATATATGTTTTCTTTATTTAACACTTTTTTCCGATCCCTTGATTCACATAAAGATTGTAAATAGTTTTGTTTGAATGATATATTGATTTATTAAACATCAGATAACAATACAAAGACACCAAATAAATTATTTTTAAATTAAATAAAACTCAAAGATAACTGTAAAATGCCATAGATTATATGTTAGAAATTGTTAAATACTATAATTAAGCAAAAATTATAAAGCTTTATATTTATAACAAGCATTTGTATAGAAAGTTTAATAAGCATTAATTTTAAACAATGTCTATCAATGGGACTTTCGGTTAACTCTCGCTTAATGTCTTTAATTATATGATAAGTACATACTATACAGTATATCTATTAATATCTATTATTATTATTACTAAATTTCATCCAAAGACTCCTCCAGACGATTGTCCGCTGAGTCGGGTTTGGGTCAACACTACAGCTCGTCGTCGACCCTCATCCAAGTCTATCCCCTTTTTATATAAATAGTTAAATGAAAACAATTACAATCACTTTATAAAGGGCGACGGCTCTATACAATGAGATGTCGGAACCTTCATCCGCATCCCCTCCTCACTCATCCCAATGCCAGTCGACCGACACTTCAATTTAAATACTAATAATTATGTGAATTAATAAGTAATTGTTTGCATTTTTGTGGTGTAAACCGTTTGTTGAGTTCATTAAATGTTTTCCTTGTTTTTTACGGACGATTTGCAACTCAACGCGAAAAACATACTTTTGATTTGTTTTATACCTTTATTATATTTGTTTAAATATTTAAATTAATGGGAAAAGTATACCCTTTTGAAGGCCTTATTTAGCGCACATTGTATGCAACAATCGTTCAAATTTTGTTAACGAAATGCATATTTAAATAATGGTTTGTTTTTCCCGAGATTTTCATTATATTTTCTTATATGCGATGAATAACTAATTCTTCAATTGAAATATAATTATCATATGATTTAATAAAAGATAAACATTATAAGTGAGACATTTCACGCACCTTGTTAAAATAAAATTCAATGAATTTCTAGTTGTAAAAATAAATAAATTTCTAATTAAATAAAATCATTTTCGATTTTTATCGTAAATAATTATAAAAGTATAATTGATTTTCTAAAGAAAATTACCACAATATTTATTTTAAAACTCAATTAAAATGACAACAATTGTAATAATACAATCAAATCTAATTATAAAGTATTAAATCAAACAAGAATAACAAAAATATTAATTTAATCCTGTACATGTTTATACAGAACAATACAATACAGTCAATACTTGTTATTATTGCAAACTACAGTAATTGTTAATTACGTTAAATCTATTAACATTTCTATTGTGTATTTTGATTTGAAAACAAAATATTTAAATATAAGTTGAATCAAACATTTGTAGAGTTTGTTCATTTAATCCCAAGTTATGGCACAACAGATAACACCAACGAAGACATAGTTCGAGATCACAATTGATGGCAACAAAAATGCGATAATTAAAAATTCAAACATAACTTTACCAAAAAATATATCAATATTTTGCAACTTTAAACGGCACACAAAAATATGACAAACAAAACGCCAGCAAAACACAAACTAAATATTGCTTACATATAGACACACGTCGGCCGGAAATGTATGCAAAAATTAATTACAATGTGCAATACCTGTTGACACGGGTATGTGGTTTGGGGGTACGGGTGGCAAAAGTGTGCATCGACCGGGAATCGAACCCGGGCCGCCCGCGTGGCAGGCGAGCATTCTACCACTGAACCACCGATGCGACCGTTGTCTATAAGTCTATTCAATCCACAAGTGGTTCCCATTATTTAAGCATTTTTTGAAAACATCTTTTTTTATTGTTGAGAAACCACTTTCAGGTCATTTACTTTTTCGTAAGCCTTTGCCAAACCATATGTGTGTCAAACTAACGTAAACTATACTTTATATAATATTATATACCGTATATTAACAGTGCTTTCCCCATACTGTAGTATTCAATCATTGATTTAGTAATTAATTACTTAAAATACTTTGCAAACTAAATGATAATATATTTGTCAATACCATATGTTTGTTTGAGTAACATTTTAAATATACTTGTTATAAGTTATAACTTGTAACAATTAAAGTATGTGTTTAAACAAGAATCATACGCTATGCTCTAGGTGAACTACAATTCAGGAATGCATAAAATTTTTCATTAACGCCATAGACTTAACATTATCCATATTACTATCATAGGATAACATTAACATCATGTTAAAGTATAGCCATAGCTTATAGCTAAACATCTCTTATAAAATGACACTTTTAATAAAAATAACTCGAACTATAAAGTATTAGAATATAATAAAGGTTTTACATAAAACTCAATCCACATTTGATATGAATGGGTTTATTGTTTCAATACATTTACTCCCAGATCGACCAAAAGTTGTTATGATATTTGGGATTTGCCTTTTCGTCATTGGGAAGATTGGCCGGCGGGACAGCGCTTGCATTATATGCCTCTAATAAGTTGAGCATTGTTTTGACAATATCTGCATTTTGTTCATATATATTATTGTATTCACACGGATCTGCCTTAATGTTGAAAAGACATGGATTTACTGTTGGTTTGCAGTCTGTCTTTAGAGATGAATTACATTTCACTGCAATTTCTTTCACTTCAATTGAGCGGCAATTTAATTGCTTTAGTGTTTTATAAACGTTTGAATTTTTGTAAACTATTGGTAGACTTTCGGATGTAATAACATTATCGTTATTTGTTTGGTTCGATTGACCAGGAGGCAAATACCAAATATCATAATTTCCATCCACAAATGTGCCCGATATTAGTTTATAGTCGCCATACCTAAGTGCCCACATCTTCCACGTGGGGTCTATATTATGCAATAAATGTTTTCTCGGATTCTGTAAATTATCGTTAAGAATATTCCACATATCGATGCCATCAATGGGTCCCAAGTCTTCAGTCTTACCGCCGACTGCGCTGTATATTGTGGGCAACCAATCGGTGACATGCATTAAGTGGTCACTAATGTATGTCTTTCTTAACAATGGACTCCATATGAAAGCGATGCCTCGAATTCCTCCCTCAAGTAATGTGAATTTTCCGCCTAAACTTACGAAATGTAAAAACAAATTAAATTAATTTAAGTATTTTTGGGAAATTCAAATATACTAACCTCTTAGCGGCCAATTTGATCCAATGCTGCTATCAATACAAGTTCCGTCGGCCCCACAACTGGCGCCCCCGTTGTCTGTCGTGAATATAATGATCGTATCGTTCAATATATTCGCCTTCTGGAGGGCGGAGAAGACATCTCCAACCGAGTCATCCAAAGCCGATACCATCGCTACAAATGTTCGTCTTCTCATGTCTTCAATGTCCTTAAATCGATCGATATATCGTTGCGGCGCCTGAAGAGGGTTCGCACCGTTGCCCGCGTGAACCGATTGATGGGCCAGATATAGGAACAGAGGTTTTGTGGAATTACTACTTCTGTTGATTATATCAATAGCTTTATTCGTGTAAATATCTGTTGAATAAATTCCTGTGTATTCCGTAAGGTTTACCGCATTTTCATTATCTCTAAAATCAAATCCAGTATAACCTCCGCCACAAACTCTGTCGTAATAGTCTTCGTGACCATTAAAAAAGCCGAAATATGAATCAAAACCTCGTTGCGTTGGTGTGTACTCTCTTTTAAAGTAACCCTGGTGCCATTTGCCCACAGCGTGTGTCTCGTAACCCAAATTTTTCAGATGTTGTGGAAGTAGTTTGTATTGAAGAGGTATTCCTCGGGGTTCGGCCGCCTGCAGGGCGTCGTGTTGTTGGCCGGTATGGATGGGATGATAACCCGTTAAGACAGCGCTTCTCGATGGCGAGCAAATGGGAGACACGTAATAGTTGTTCAAAATAATACCACTTCCGGCCAATAGGTCTATGTTTGGTGTCTTCACCTGATGTGAGCCGTGAAACCCGACGTCTCCCCAACCTATCCGTATAATTGGGTTTATTATCATTTAATTACTTTTTATAAATTGTATTTAATTATAAATATGCAAACCGTAATCGTCGGCAATAATTAGTACAATATTAGGCTTTTTTAAGGCAATACAACAGAAATTGAATAAAAAATTATACATAAAATTAATAAAACATATTTTATGAATTCTCATTATAATAAAATATCGTCACTGTATTTTAAAAATTAATTAAATAATCATGTTCATTTGATTGTTTTATAAATATTTACCATAATTATATATTTATTATTTTTTATCAGAACTAATTGCAAAAATTTTATATTTAATACTAATTTAATATTTAGTTTAATGGCAATAAGTGTTATAATATTATATGGATTTCTGTAACATGTTTTAGATTTTAATAGTTGAATGTGTTTTGCAAAGTGTTTAAAATACTATTAGGTTACCTGATATGTGGCCAGCTAGATAGAATTATAAAATTCGTTTTATTATTAATGCCTACATTCTTTAATGTAGCATGGCATTATTTAACCAACATGAATAAGCAATTTAAAACATAGTAATTTAAATAACAGTTTAAACAATTCCCATATGTGTAGCATTGAACCATTAAAAATCTACTAATTCGCATGATTATTTGTCCATGATTAAAAAATGTGTTAAATAATTAATTGACAAAACCTTAAAATTAATCCTCAAGCAAAAACAAAAAATAAATATACAAAAAGTAGGATTTACCCGGACGTGATTTGAACATGCAACCTCTCTACTCACTCTCGCTGACTGTGTTCAATGTAGCAATGCATTGAAACCAGTATTTTATTAAATGTATTGCGAATTGTGTTTCATTAACGCATTTCATGTGTTTTATAATATAAAATTAATAATAGACTCTATGAGATATTTTTAACTCCTATTAAGTATTCATAAGTGTTTTAATTAATAGTATTAATGCCGTAAACTATTATGCTGTTATTTTGATAATTATTGTATCATGATAGTTATGATTAAAAAAACACCCACTCAATAGTTTCCAATGAGTTAATAATTACTGCAAACTTTGATTAACTATTTTATCACTCAATTTGGATGAATGTAAATTCAATTGAACCCAAATTAACGTGAAATTACAAAATATTAACATTTGATTACATTATTTGGATTTATAGTCACAACGGATTGATATAATGAAAGTGAAAACATGATAAAAATCTATTTGCAATATGTATAACAAACAAACAAAAAGGTTTATAAATTACCACCAGGTACAATAGTAAACATTGGAAAATTACATTATCTTCAAGCAAAACATAGTATACAATGTTATTGTTATTTTAACTATTAAGAATTAGAGAGAATTAAATATTTAAATTACTTTATTAAACTAGAGTTAATTTTATTTATAAATTAATAAAATTAATAAACAGTACAATAACTTTATTTGTTTTATGTACCCGGATTTTAAATAAACCATGCAATTTACCAACTTTATTATTTGAAATAACACTCAACCTTAGAATATAATATATAATTATAGAGAATAATATTATTGTTAATTCAATACAATTTGATTAATTGATTGAAAATTTCACAATATTGTTGTCAGAGAAAAAATCTGTTATTTAAACGAAATAAAAAACAATTTATTCATCAATTTGTAAGTATTTTTCATAACTTACACGTCTATTAAGTTTACAATTGTAACAATAAGTATGTAATCTTTGGTAAATTAAACTTAATTAATAAAACAATTTATTACTTATAACGTTAATAAACGACACAACTTTTAAATGGTTTAAATGTTATTAATTAACTTAAATAAAAGTTAAAATTAATTTTTAAGTGCAAAAATTTACTAATTAATAGTATTAGTGCACAATTGTGTCCTAATTGCTTTGCACCTAGGGTATATTTACGTGCAACATCTACAAAAAAAAAATAAGTTGGTATGTTTATTTAATATAGTAATAAATTGTAAATACTTTTCAAAGTCCTAGATGTTTATCTTGCCGTTACTTTCATATTATACCTTTAACTCTTCTTTGTTGTTAAAAAATTCAATTATTATACAAAAAATTGTATTACGGTAACAGTAATAATGTATTACTGTTACATTAATTAACAATCTATAAGTGATATTATAATTAATTTAATAAACAAGTGAAATGCTATAGCTTTAAGTCCTGACAGAATATGAGATTATATGAGATAATCATAAAATTTGAGTATGCATTTCACCAAATTTTGTGATTAATTGAATTTAATTGTATGGAAACTACAATGGAATTTATAATAAATTGCAATAATAATAATATTATCTATCTAATTTAATAGAGTATTACAATTGGTATCACAATTGTTTTTAATTGCAGTCATAAACTTGTTATCAAACACCACTTTAGGAACTTAAGGAGACTTTCATCTTAAGCTTTAAGTCAACATTTAGTATAAATATTGTGCAAAACAACATAATTTAGTTAATGATTTCTACAGAATCTCTTCCATAAAAAATAATTTAATTTTTAATATGTTTTGTGTGAACTAAAGACAAACAAAACTAATATTAATTATTATTTGTGATTACAAGACCTCTTTCGGTACATTAATCTGTCGACATGTCGGCCATTACCGATGCGGTCACAACTACTGAGCAACCATTGGGTCTATCGGACGGCTCCGTACACATTGAATGGCCCGACTATCTCGTCATTGCATTATATTTTGTCGGTATTTTGGGTGTAGGATTTTGGGTATATATCATACCATATCATGTTTACTAAAATTGTATTAAATATTAATTTTTGTAAACAATTTGATAAAAAGTCGTCGAGAAAAAGTAAAGGCGATTCAGTGGACGGTTACTTCTTGGCCAACAGGAGTATGCATTGGATTCCCGTCGGTTTAGCTACTGTTTTAATGTATATCTGTTTTAAACTAATCATGTGTTTATGAATAGGTGGGCGCATCCCTGTTCTCCAGTAATGTGGGCAGCGGTCAATTTGTAGGACTAGCCGGTTCTGGCGCCAGCTCTGGTCTATCCATCGCAGCCTTTGAATTAAATGTGTGCAAAACAATATATTATCTAATGTAATTAACTTGTTATAAAAGTATCCGGGTTATGTATTTTTTAAAGGCACTTTTCGTATTGTTAGTATTGGGCTACTTTTTTCTGCCTGTTTATATTGCTGCCGGAGTAAGTGTTATTTATTTACTAAATTATTAGACAATATAACATGATACAGTATAACTGTGCCATTAGGTGAGCACAATGCCTGAATATCTAAGAAAACGATTTGGTGGCCAACGGATCCGTATATATATGTCAGTGTTGGCCATTTTGCTCTACATCTTCACCAAAATATCTGTTAGTTGTAATCATCCACTAAAATAGCCATAATTATAAATTATTTACTATTATGAGTTTGTCTTATAATTTGTGTTATACTTTGCGCACTAAATAGGCTGATCTGTACGCGGGAGCGCTTTTCATAAAGCAATCGTTGGGTCTAAACATGTATGTGTCGGTTGTGATACTACTGGCCATATCGGCCGTATTCACTATGGCTGGAGGTTTAACCACAGTATGTGTTAAATAATTTAGAAATAAAGTAATAAAACTTATATACAATATAACACCATTTCAGGTCATTTGGACGGACACTGTTCAAACATTTCTTATGGTTATTGGCGCACTTGTGCTCACTATATTAAGTAATCACATACTTTATTACCAATCAATAATGAATAAGTGACTTAAACTAACTTAAATTACAATAGGTTTCAATGAGGTGGGATCAAAGTACCACAATCCAAGTGGTTATAATGAATTAATGGACAATTTCAGGACTCGGGGTGAATCCAAAAATCCAAGTTATATAATCATCGATAACAGCACCGGCCAGTCGTGTAGTGCTATTACACCGTATTATAGGAATTTGTTGAGACCCTGGGACGATGCCGACCTTCCCTGGACTGGTATGGTGTTTGGCATTACCATATCGGCCGTATGGTACTGGTGCTCTGACCAAGTACATATTATAATTACAATTTATTTTATTTAAATGTATTAATTATTATCATTGTCTCAATCAGGTTATAGTGCAAAGAGCGCTGTCGGCCAGGAGTTACTCACACGCGAAGGCCGGCTGTACTCTGTGTTCATTCATTAAAATTTCGCCATTTTATCTGTTGGTTATGCCGGGAATGGCTGCCAGAGTGCTGTGGCCGGGTATGCATTACCATAATTAATAATTTAATTAAAATACAATTTATTTATACAAAAAACTTAGATGAAGTTGGTTGTTCTAACCCCGATATATGCAAAAAGATCTGCGGCTCAGAGTCCGGCTGCTCTAACATCGCTTACCCATTGCTAGTTCTTAGACTAATGCCGGCCGGTATGTTATTAGCACCATGTTTTATCGGCTAATCTAATATGGACTGCATTGCAATTAATCGCAAAACCAGGTCTGACGGGTCTTATGCTGAGCGTAATGATGGCGGCGCTCATGAGTTCACTCACATCCATATTCAACAGCGCGTCCACAATATTCACTATAGATATCTATAACCGATTCCGTAAACAGGCCTCAGAGGTAGAGCAGGTAATCGCCGGCCGTATATTTGTACTCTTTCTGGTGGCCGTCAGTATTCTCTGGATTCCGATCATAGAGTCGTCGCAAAACAGCCAACTCTTTAATTATATCCAAAGTGTTACCTCATATCTGGCGCCTCCTGTCTGTGCGGTGTATGTGTTGGCCATGTTTTGGGGCCGAATCAACGAAAAGGGCGCCTTTTGGGGGCTTATGATTGGTCTCGTGATCGGCATTATTAGGTTTGTGATGGAGTTCTCATACACTGTCCCGACGTGTGGTTCGGGAATCGCGGACCCGAGACCTACCATACTATCGAAAGTACATTATTTACATTTCGGAATTATATTATTCCTTATCTCATCGGCGGTTACGATTGCCATCAGTTTATTCACGAAAGCTATTGATGAAAAACATGTAAATAGTTGTACAATACATGCAATCCGTATTTTTATATTATGCACTACTTTTCTCAACAGTTATATCGTTTGACTTATTGGTCGAGAGGTAGTCATGAAGTGCGCGAAGATATAGACGCGGATGCGGTGACGGAGAGCGAGACATGCGGTCAAACAAACAATGGTTTCGTTGCCGAAGACGGCACAGAATCGGCAACGACTGGACCTCAGAATAATAACGTTGTGTCAAAATCGGGTGATAACGAGAATAGGAGTCGACTATTGTATACATTATGTTGTGTGGGCTCTGGGAATAAGTCGGCCGAAGAGGGAGAGAAAGGTAACGATGGAGAGGTAGGGGTCATACCATTGACCAAAGAGGAGGATGCGATCCGTTGCGCCAACGATGTCAAAGAGACACCCGTTTGGCGATCAGTGAATAATTTATTTGCAAT